ATCGTTTTACTAATAATATGATAACGTGAATGTGTTTTTTTTCCATCCAAGAAATGTTTTCCCTGAAAGAGCTGAAAGAGCTACTTTCTCTATTAATAAAACTGTGTTATTTCCTCTTCACCTATTTTGCAATCGAGGTTATAAGCATTTTCCCCCCAAAACAGTTGTTTATTGATATATGTAAATTATATTGACAGCGAAGATTAGTCACGTGAGAATTCATAAGAGAAAAGAAATATCCTTTTCTCTGGACTCGATGTTGTCTTCCTTAAGCGACTGTGTAGTTTGTACTTGAGTCAAGTTTATATTTATGTTTAGGGGTTAAGTTATCTAAAGAAGGGCTCAAACTTTGATTTATTATTGGTATTCATGTTTGTTGTAGATCAAAATTTATGCTCCTGGTTTTAAAAATTTCTCAAAATTCTCTCTGCTAAAGTTCTGACTGTTTTTAAATTTCCCTAGCGATGGGGTGTTACATTCCACAGGGTAAAGATGCTAGCCCCACATCCATTCTTTCGTCTATTTTTAGATCACAGCCGGTTGTGAGAGGTTTCGCAGTGCATCATAAGGGAAGCGGGCAAAGTTCAAAACGCAAACGCACGAGTGTCCTTGAGCCGACCAATCATATAAATGAGGCATTTTTGCATGAAAAATGACGTATACTTGCAAGAAAATGATTGAAAGCACATCAAACAAGGTATCTTTTTCTGACATGACTTAAAAACTTGTTCAAGTTATAGTGAAGAGTATCAGTTGCTAAGTTAGAGCACTTTCCGTACATGTATTCACCGAGGTGACTGAAAATGAGATGTTTTTGTGAATCGTCTATCTCTCTTATCTTGTTGTGCAGTCCTCCCCAAAGCACTTGGTTGAATTACTGTGGTTTCTATTAAGAGGATCGAAGACTACTTACGAGGAAAGTGTGGATAATAAAACAAATTAAATAAATGACATCAACTCTAAATCTATTCCTAATCGCAGCCCTAACCTTGAACTTAACACTAACCCTAACTTTAATCCTTACCCTAATTACAACCCTTATTCTAACCGTAAGTCTAACTCTAATCCTAATTCTGACCCTGACCTAACCCTAACTCCAATACTTACCTTAACCCTAATCCTAACCCTAGCGAGCTATTAACACATTGCCTAAGCAGTACTTAAAAACGTGATCTGGTTGAAATTCGCTTACTAGTTGGTGAATATCACTGATATTTCAGCTTTGGTAATGACAGTTGCCGTAAGCCAACGACTAGCATACGTTCAAGGTCATTGTAGCGTTCGCACACATGGGCCGATATTGTTGAACTTCGCCAGGAATCGAACCTAAACCCTTTGAGCATCTAGTGAGTATTCTTCTACTGAACTACCGATGCAAACAATGACAGCAAATGATGAAATAAAACGGAAACTGTTTAGTGATATTGTCTTTAAGAAGTTAAACTCAAATGAAATCCTATTTTATGACATTTAGTGCCTTAACGTATACCTTGTTCTTAGAAAAACATACATCACAACATAGTATTTTACTATAAGATAATTAGTGGATGGTGACTAGCAGTGGAATCCAGGATGTGTATTTCGTCCTATTTGGGACTCGCCATCCGGATATACCTGCATTCCGCAGTGAGACAGCGATGTTCCCACCGAGGCTCAAACCTAGTGCCCATAGTTTCAAACGCCAAAAAGTTATCCACTAGACCACTTGGGTCACGAGATCCACCTCTTGTGCAACGGGTCATATTAATTATTTAATTCAATATTAGATTTTCCCGTCGATTGATTGGACCAAAGTGCTCGGTCTAAGGCTGTCCAAATAGGACGAAATGAGCATCTTGGATTCCACTGATAGTAACCATCCACCAATTAACTTACAATTAAATGCCTAGACACCGTCGAAGCCTGAGCACAAGAGGCCAACATGTCAACCTGAGACCGAGTACTTCGGTCCAATCAATCGACGGGAAAATCTAAAATTGAATTAAGTAGTATTTCAATGTTTTATGGTAATTATCAATATGATAAAAATGGAGGAAGGAAAAAAACTAGCTGGATGTTGTCAAACATAAAGACACATCTTTACACTCAAGCAATTTTTTATACTTGTAATTCCCCGCTGATATATATTTTTTCTTCATCTCTTTGCATTTCTTGGGGAAAATCAGGTCAGAAGAGCTAAGACTTGAATTGTTCCTCTCTTCCGGGCTTATAACTTGACAAGCGAGGATAAGGAGTACGAAGTCTAGTAATCAAACCTGTATGGCAAGCATTCCACCTGTGACCCACCGACCCGTTGAGACATCTAGAAAGAATTAATTAGCCTCATCGTTACATATAGGCTACTCTAACGAAACGACTTGATATTACCATGAACAATAAGTAGATATCACTTGTTTCAGTGGTGTATCAGTGATCTAATTGATAGTACTGTAACATTTTTTCTAACGTGGGATGTTCAACTTCAGCTCATTCGGGAACACTGTCGCTGGCTACAGCTACATGTACATTTTGCTGATGAGTGCTAAACATGACGAAAGACACATCATAGATACAAGTGTTAGACAGTATAGAAAAATGTCTTTATCATTATTATTGGAATTGCATTCACATTTACCGTGTATTTATTATTATTGTTCCCTTGGGTTTCTAGTGGAACATAGGGCTTCAACTGCACGTCTCCACTTGCTTCTGTCTTGTGCTGCACTTTTCACCTGCATCCATGTTATTCCATACTGTTTCAGCTCCTCTTCACACGATCTCCTCCATGTCACCATTGGACGTCCCACTCGCCGCTTCCCTTTCGGGTTCCACTCGAGCACTGGCCTGACGCGCAATGTCACCCAACGGCCTCCTCAGTGAGTGTGCAATCCATCTCCACTTTCTCCTGCATATTTGTTGAGCGATTGGTTCTTGTTTTGTTTGTTCCCATAGTTTCTTGTTTGTGATTCTTTCCGGCCTTCTGATCTTCAGCATGGAGCGAAGACAGTTGTTGATAAAGGTCTGCAACCTATTGGAAATATTCCTTGTGACCCGCCAAGTTTCTGATCCATATAGCAAAACTGACTTGACGTTTGTATTGAAAATCCGAATTTTGTTGTTGATGCTGAGTTGAGTGACGAAGATCTCCATATTGGTTTCAGGTTGATGAATGTGTTTCTCGCCTTCCCGATTCTCGATTTGACATCTTCGTCCGTTCCTCCTGTGGTTGAGACAATTCTCCCTAGATAAGTGAATGAAGTAACCTCTTTCAAATCCCTCCCGTTGATGGTGATTGGCGCTGGATGTTGCTGCTGTTGTTGTTGTTGGTTGGTTGGTTATTTTCATAACCTCCGTCTTGTCTATGTTCACCTGGAGTCTTGTCTTTGCTGCTTCTTCGACCAGTTTGTCGGTTTTCGCTTGTAAGTCTTTGATTTTGTGTGACATCAAACATAAATCATCTGCGAAATCCAGGTCTTCTAGGTTCTTCACGTCGGTCCAGGATATCCCTGTCTTCTCGTTTCCCACTGTCTGACGCATAATCCAGTCCACCACAATAAGGAATATCATTGGTGATAATAAGCACCCTTGTCTGACTCCTGTGTTTACTCCAAACGTGTTAATCCACATTTACCGTGGATTAACACTTAGTCTAAGGGAATGGATGAAACACTTGAGAAATATTCATAAACGCATCCATATGATAATAGAAAATTTAGATGTTTACTTTTATTTATCAAGTTAATGATGAATACATTTTAAGTGAAATTTATTCAATTCACAATTTGCTATTCATCAAATAAAAATGTTTTATGCATTCATTGCATAAGACAGATTTCAAGCTGAACATATGAATCAACAAAGAACTCTTACAAATGAAATAAAACTGAGAAAAAAATGGAAAGTGTTGAATAATATTCATTCTTGCACAAAACATTATTTCAAATTATTTACTTTAAATGATAAGAGAAGCGAATAGAAGAATTAAACCAAAATATACACAAAATGTTGCACGAAAGAATTTATATATTCAGCTAAGCAAATAAACATTTCTATATACATATATATACATACATATATTCACAGCATGAAGGTATAAAGTAATCAGAAGAAAGAAATAACACAACAAAAAATGTTCAAAACAATAAACTAGATAATTAAAAATAATGTAAATTATTTCAGTTCTTCGAAAGCGTTCTATTCACACTTTCGATGAATATTTTGTTTATTCATTTACTTATGCAGATTTTCATTCTGTCTGGAAGGTTGTATGCGCTTTTAATAAAGTTTTCGGTGATGAACGGTTGAATTGCAAAGCTTATTATTGTCCCTGTGCGTCCTGGGTGGAACATAGGACCTGAACGGTAAATCACTATTTCATGCTAAACTCTGCGGTCTTTCTCAGATGCTCCTACAATTGAGCAGGATTTCCTCCGTGTCAGCTTGTTGTCTTAAGTTCAGGTCCCACAGTAGGGGGTGGGGGAACTGGCACTGCACTTGATCTCACTCAATGATCTTCTGAATTCGATACATCTTCAGTTTCTTCTGCGAATTCTTTGGATGTGAAGTTTTTAGTTATTTCGTTGCTGGAGTTCCTTGTTGCTTACCCTTTCTCGCCAGCTACCTAGTCATCAGGATTGAGTGAAGGTATCTGTCGATTTAAGGTTTTGCAGCAGACGGCTGAAAACACTACTGGCGCTCAAAGTATGACATCCGTGTGGAAGCAGCGATTTGACATTAGTGTTCACAATTCGGATCTTAATCCTTATGTTAAGTTGCCTAGACAGATAAAAATTAAAGCCTTACAAATAAGCCATCCAGTTTAAAGAACGCAACCGTATCAAAATCACCTACTTGACTTATTGACTTAATAATTTCCGTCATTTCTGAAGTCATAATCTATCAAAATCTATCAATCATGGGCGTATACAGTCCGGTTACTTAGCTGAATGACAAGACAACGCTGAACAACGTCATAGGTCTTAGTTTAATAGTCGAAATCAGAAAGAGTTAATCATTTTTTAATGTATTTTTGGCAAATGTCCGCAGAGTAAGTCTACATCCATGATAGAAAATTCGTCATTTTCGTACTCTAACTTATTTTGTTCAGTGCTGAATTTGGGGAATTTGTTATAATTTCTGATCCCATGAATTATTGAGTACACTCAGATGTGATGTGAATAAGGTAGAAGTCATTTCGCCTTACTCACTCTTAAAAAAGTATTTCTGTTGAAGGATTGATCAAGTGGAGCTGTTCCTTCTGAGTTTACACTTCTATTCTCCTTTTGTTAGCCGAGCTGAGTAGTGTCTACAAGCCTGTCAAACTACCTAACATATAGTACGACCTAAGATCTCATTTCCACAAACGCGTGAATGCATCTTCCTTTGGGAATTAGTAAAGAGAAGTAACATACCTAATACCTAATAGGATACTGAGTAACCCGGCTGACTTCTTATGCAATCCATATCACTTAAAATCACTTGAATTGGCGAGAGTTACTTGTGTACGCCAAATGATTCTTCAATCTTAGATGGAGAAGTCTCCAAAATTCATAAACATAGATTTCATGTTTGTCGGCAGTCGCCAACAATGCGTATCTTCAGTCCTAAAGGAACTCATGTCCCCTCTGAGATTTGAAACCGACTCCCATGGTTAATGATATTACCACTGAGCTATTTGAGCTCACCATTCAAATCCTGTAGGACTGTAATGGACACTAGGTGGTAACTAAAGTCTTATGTTTAGTCTTTCAGTCGCCATTCAACCATTTAACAAGAATTTAGATTTCACCGTGATGATGTCCACATTAAAAACTTGCACCGAACAAAGGACTAAACGTATGACATAAATTGCTGCCACTTGTCCAATCAAAAGTTATTCTCGTTGTACCTTTCGAAAGAATGTTTGCAAGGTTCAGTTTATAACAGAATTAGAAGTCACCTTATGTCAATATCACCTGAAGTCGAAGATAATAAGAATGAAGTACTTGAATAGACCTTAATGTTTATCTGTCACTATGGAAACTAAGAAGTGATTTTTGTGATACTAACTACTTATTTTCTCTACTGGAGTATGTACACACGGAATGTAAATAATAATAATAATACTCTTAAAACACTTTGTGTGTATATGGCAAAAACAAATAAGTTTTCCTGTTACGTAATGAGTTTTAGAAGAAACATTTCACCATGTTTTGGAGGTATTTTGAACTTAATTTTCGGTACTTACTGGAGGATGCCACTAATTTCTTTTTTAAGGCAATGTGTTACGTCTTGAGTACTTTATAAAATGTGTTTTGTAAATGTTTTAAATCGTGTGCTAAACATTTGTTAAATTGTTAGAAAGTGAAAACATAATAGGCGAGTTTAGAAGTGTTAATTTAAATGACTGCAAACAGAATGAAAATTCGTTTTAATTCTTCTTATTTTCTCTACGCTTTTTTCAAAAACACTTTTGCAGTCTGCTTGTTTGTTTAATAAAGCCCTACTTCATACGCACACACACTTCAGAAATCTTCTCATTTGTTTGAACAGCTGAAAGATGCGTCTGTTTAAAGGTTTTAGTTTATTTTATGATAACAATGAATGTTTCTTCAGCTCATGGTATACATCTGGTTGCTTTTATAATGTTTAAATAAACGAATGACAGCTTGATTAAACACATTTTCTGGATTTTCACTCTCATTTTAGTAAATTATCCTGACAGATAAAAGGAAATTAACAGGTATTCTAGCCTGTGAATAAAAATGTAGACATATGTTGTGCGAGAAGAGATTTCAGTGCATGAGTTTTTCACGCTCAAAATATTCTCCCCCCTTCAGTCAGACACTTATTTGCTTGAATAACTTCCAAATACTTGCTTTACATTTTATGTATGTCACAATTAAGTGGATGTCCTTTTTTCTGAGACTTATCAAAAACTGATTGCAGTTGGAAAGCCTTTGGAAACCAAGGTGTACTGTACATCTATTTCACTTCTCTTCCAAAGTCTTCATCAGTACGCACCTATGACCCCACCTGGGATCAAGCCCAGAACCTTTAGCACGTATACTATTTAGCCACTAGGACAGGATTCAGTAGCCCATATATCCCTGCAACCAATATACGCCAGTATATATACCCAACTTGTTGTACTCCACTAATCATGACTTGTTACTACAACTTTTTCGGAAACATGATTCTGCAGCCAGTCACTTTTTTTCTTTTATTTGAGGTTTCTTCATGGAATCAGTATTTAACTGGTTTCGGTAAGGATCAGTTAATATACATCGTGAACATAAACATTATTAAGCGCATTTTGAATCTACAAAGCAGGTCAATCTATGACTCAATTCTACATTATCTGGTGAATTCATATCACACATCTCCAGTGAAGTCACTTTTTAAAACTGTCTACAAATTAAGGTTGCACAATGTAAGAAGTGTTAGATTTCGACACTTCTGTATGCCGTAGGTAACAGTAGTTTGAGAAAACAACCACCTAAATGTGCTGAAAGAAAAGGTTTCTTCAACCACTCATTCAAACTCCTACTTATTTGCTTATATTTTCGTTAAGTAATTTACTATCGTTAATGCTAAATATTCCTTTAATACAAGTGACTATTATTAAAAGTTTTGTGGAAAGGATATTAATAGTTTAATCCTCCCAAGACCTTGTAGTCTAATCTGTCACCTGAAAGTTAATGTTTATTAAAGACTGATTCATGAATCTTTCTGAATCTCCGCAAACAACACGAACGAAAATTCTGAGAGAATATGCAATTAATATGTATAATTGTATTTTTTTTCGTCTAAAGATAGATAGACACGAGACTATTTCTCGTAAAACAGACGAAAAAAATAATTTTTTTATGATTAATATAAAAGTATATAAAATAATCTCGACATATTCAAGTTTATAATGATTCAGTCTGACTTGCAGCTCAATTTGTTCCAGGAAATTCGTAACATCTACAATCTGGATATATATAAAGTCTTATTTTATGGCGATTTGAACTTTTTGACTGTCTTGTAGATATGAACATAAAAGATAGGAAAATGTACTCATTTGATGTTAATTCTTTGTTTACTAATGTAACATTGATTAAGACTGTTGATATTCTTTGTGACTTCATATCTTCTAGTTGTTTTTTATTCCCTTTTCCTTTAACTTATTTCAAAGATTTATTACTATTATGTACTGACAACGTCCATTTCATGTTTGAAGGTGAACACGTTCGACAAGTGGATGGTGTTGCTACGAGGAGTCCATTAGAACCTTCGTTATTAGACGTTTACCTGTCTTATGTTGAGAATTTGTCCCTTGATTTAATTTTTATATTGCCCTTCTATAAGAGATATGTAGATGATATCATTTTGATCTGTGATGATCATGAAGAATCATAAAGGTTTTACATGCGAGGAAGAAAGTCGCAACCAGCTCGCCTTTTCAAACATACTTCTGAGTTGAAGAGATGATGGTTCAATAAGATGACCAATTTACAGATAGCCTACTTGGGCAGGGTAATACCTTAGTTTTCAGTTTCTGTTCATTACAGTATAAGAGACTTGAGGAATACCCCAAGTGTTTGTCCACCTCATTCAATAGCTGACTATATCACAATGACAAGTGTCAAGTGATCCACAAGGGAAAACTCAGTGAGGCGTTCGAAGTGCATACAGGAGTAAGACAAGGCTACCTTCTTGTTTTTACCAGTGATATTCTTAATTGTGGTGGACTGGATTATGCGTCAGACTGTTGAGGGCAAGGAGTCAGGAATATGCTGGACGACCGATAAGAAGACTGATTGTTCTCGTCAAAGTTTTGCATATACAGTATCTCGATGGATAACTGGGTAACTCAACGATTTAAGTGGCCTGCTGGTGGTCCACAATAGTAGAATGCTCGCTAGTCAATCACGGGCTGATTTGTCAAGTAACGCAACTTCAAACCTCACCTAGTTATCTGGTCAGTCGGTAGACAGACCAGAAAAAAGGGGAAGTTGAATGTTAGATCAGCAATCCCACCATGAAAAAATGACTTAACCACTACCGGGACTTTAAAGATTGAAAGTCTAAGTCTCACTTGGAGTACAAGGAATGGAAAACAGTGACCTACACAGATCACATGAACTGCTTAGTAAAATGTCATGTTTTACTTATAGGTAAAAAATATTGCAAATATAATTTCGGAATAATTCCTAGCTGTTATCATTTGGTATTTAAGGCTTAAAAAATATGTGTACTGAATCTTGACTATAAATTCTAAAATATCGCCAGAAGGCATTATTTAATTTGAAGTAAAGAAAAACACGTGGTACAGAGAAATTGAATAAAAATTAAATGTTTTATTAAGTCAATTACAAACGTTAAAATACCGAGATTAAAGTAGAATTTCTAAATAACGGTCAATTTTCAAATCAGTTTGAAGTATACGAAATCGGAAACATATCACGAGCTCATAGGTGATTCGGGTGAGTAGACGATTAATGGGTTCTAATCGTAACTCCAAAGGTCAAAGGGTTTGATTCTTGGTGGGTGATTAGTGTGTGCTACCGATGAGTCCCAAACACGTTTTTCGTGATCCATATCTGTTCAGGAGAAAATCTATAATGAATAAAGATTTCAGTGAGACGAATAAATCCCATAAAAATCCTGAGCGAATTTATCTATTTATAGTTTCGTTAGTTTCGTCTGATTTAAACAAAAGGCGTAATGGTAAAGAAGATTTTCCTCTCAAGGAATCATTTTCAAAGGCTGTAAAACTGTACTTATATTTATCAGTTCATATATTCCCCCTATTCTTCTTTATTATTCCTCCTTATTCTTCTCAGGGCTTCACAAAAATAGTGGTGGACCTTTAACTCAGCTAACTGATATTGTTACTGGCATGAATTAAAGTTCTTGCAAGCAACTTGTTAAAGTCATCTTACCTGATACTGAACATCCCGTATTTTTTACAACTTACTCCATATATATCTTCGTGTGAGACCGGAAGAAATTTCATAGAAATTTTGGCTTGTATAGCAAAATACAAGAATTAACCATATGATATTTAGTGAAGGTGTTCTGTGGAGATACCAATATCAGAAAAGAGATTATGAGCCTAATTTCTAAGATGTACATAAACAGAAAGTTACTTACGGCCTAATTATTACATATGCTCTGGTCATTTAGTTATTGTGGTTTCGTTACTACTATTTTTTGCATTCATTTATTTGTATTAGGCGATGAATTTCGCAACGTACGCTACGCTGAAATTCCATTCTCTATGCAAATGTATTGCCTCGAATAAAGTGATGACTTTTAGCGTATTAACAAAGATTTTTTATAAAACCAGGTTGCCGTCTTGCGAACCACATTTTACGGAAGACAGTTGATTCAGTCATTTGTTAAGGAAGAGAAATGTGAATTCTGTAATTCATGAAAAATCCCCATTCGAACATTAATAGACAGAAGACAAGTAGTTCAGTGAAGAGTCTGCTTTCAGCGAATTCATTTTCATTGCTGTACAATCGCAAATATATATAGTTGTTTTGTATGTGTGTGCATTAAATTTGCCAAACGAAAATACATTTAGTAAGTTCAGATGAACTGGATGTTGATATAAGAGGACAGTAACAAAAGTGATGAGTTGTCACCAGCGATTGTTAAAGAGGGATTCACGTGATAACAAACGCCTCCTTCAAAGTAATTTACAAAGTGCAGAACAACCTCACAAGGACAATACGTTCAGGCCTTCTTTGCATTGCAGAAGCCCTAGCCATTCAGTTAGAAGAACCAGAAATATGCATACAAAAGAAAATTATTCAACCACTTCTACCATAATGGTAACAACTTCGCTGATTTGACTTAACGTTTGCTTGTATGCTTATTTTTTTAACTACTTAAAACTCTTGCGTGATTCCGTATGTTATTTTGTTTCCATGTACACCCTGAGCACAACTCTTTCATCAAATTATTCAAGCACTTATGTAACGCTTCTTCAACAATCGCTGGTGACAACTCATCACTTTTGTTACCACCCTCTTATATCAACATCCAATTCATCTGAACTTACTGATTGTATTTTCGTTTGACAAATGTAATGTACACACGTATACAAAACAACAAATAATTTTTGCGATTGTACAGCTATGAAAATGAATTCGCCGAAAAGAGACTGTTCGCTGAACTACTGGTCTTCTGTCCATAAATATGTATTTATCAATTTTCTTGTTCCAATGGAGTAAAGTACATCGCCTGTACACAACGTCAAGTTCAAAAATGTATTTTTGAACATTGTTTAGACCAGCCAGTCACAGGAGAAACATTGAATACCAATAGTTCTTCAGCATCCCACGAGATGAGTTCAAGTATGTCATTTATACGTGGATGTGTCACGAACTATTCCCGTTCTGTAATTGAACCTCTGTGTAAGAGATCATTACGTACACACTTACTGATCTTACCGTGGAGACATTAATATTCTGCATAACTTAGCTACATTCCAATAGCCATCATCGACTAGTTCAACGTCTATGCTGACTGCTTAAATCACTGGCCCTGATGAATTCCCATACAACACAGTGCATCTCGTTTTATTTATAATTCTTTACATTATAGCTATTCAGAAATGTCTTTGAGTCACCGTACTGTACTCAAACATACTTTTCATTGGCTTTCGAAGTAATTCTGACAGTTGTTGTAGTCACCGGAAGTAATACTGCTTGAAATATTAGCAAAATTAAAAAAAAATACGATTGTGCGCACACAACTATCTAAATGCAATTATAATTATTTTCAAAATACCAGTGCTCATGTCTCAAAGACAAAGGAAATATATCATAACCCAAACGTCAGCGCTTCGTGTCAAATAGTACTGCGTTACATAATCTATCATAAATTGTTACTTCCCCTTAAAATCTTGGATCAGCACAGAATACTACACAATAAATAACTCTGGGAATTCTGTACACTGGATAAACATTTGGTGCAGAATAAAACTATTATTACTATTTCCATCAAAAGATAAATGCTTTGGCTTAACACATCAGAAAACGACCATGAAATTATTTTAGCGTCGAGCTATTGCTCACATTCTTATGGTAAAAGTATTTTTTTGTAGAAATAACTTTGTAAGTTAAGCCTCCTGTGACCGTTTCGGCTTATATGCAAACAAATAGTGCATACCTGTATGTATAGGTGGACGAACGCACAAGAAATATCACATAGAGTTTTAGCCTAAAATAATTTCAGACTAATAAATATATTCTGTAGGTAAAAAAACCATATCATAAGAACACGTGATTTGCTCACAGTCTTCCTCTCTGTTTGACAATTTTCCCTAGACTCTAGAGAGAAAAAATATCAGCAAATACACAATCACGCAAAACTTTCCGTCTAAGATGGCTGGAAGTAAAAGGGAATACAGAAAAAGATTATTTACACAAATATTCACAGTCATAGTTCCTCTGTTGAACAGCGCTGTCCATCAGTCGCAACAAGCGACCATAATTAAGCAGTGGTTGCATGTAGTGATAATTTTGCTCATAGAACGGAATGCTACAATTCATTAGGATGTATGTATGCATGCATGTATATATGTATTTCACGACATTGAGAAATAATTTTTTCGAAATGCTGTTTTGCATAAACACTTCTATATTCATTCGCCTTTCTCATAGCGTGCCGCATTCTTAAATTGGTGTTGATTTTAAGCTCGGAAAACTGTGAGATATCAAAAACAAAAATGAAATTTTATCACAAGACCGGTAACGATAGCAGTTTGTTTTTTTGCAAGTAATATGTAAGGCAAGCCATTTATTTATGAGAAATATTCGCCAATCTTTGCTGTTTTAGCTGACATCCCGAAAAAAAGCATCAGACATTTTTTATACTAATTTGGCTAGTCTGAGTTCCTTTGCATAGTTAATCAGTCTTTGGATCAGTTGGTCCTGCAAAAGCCACGATACTCGTTCTTCTGTTGCTAGAGTTATGGATGACACAACTATCTAGTACTCTTCAGTTTCCTATGATTCTTTAACTGAAATCGAATTAAAACTGAAAAGTTCAAGTTTTGTGCTAACTACAAATTATCCGGCAGCTAAACTCACCCTGACTCTTAGTGCGGATACCCGTCAGTAGTGACGTCTAGCTGCTTTTAAAACTACACAGGTACGTCGTGCAGAAGGCATTCAGCAAGGACAGAAAGATGACCTTCCACTCGTTTTCCCTAACACATTACGAAATGCCAGAGAATTAAAGGTCACCATTCTCTTGCTGGAGCCATTGGCGCGAATTATTGCTCATAATCTTATCGTATTGGTATGACTATGGGTAATAAATTCTGCTTGAAATGTCATCCAGTTATCAGAAGAATTCACCTCTTTGACTTATCTTGTCCGGATAGCTTCATTTCAGCTACAGACGCTGCAGAACTGGATGTAAAAGACAGGATCAGGAAAGTAATATCATCCTTCATCACTTAGAAACTTGTGTGGAGGTCATTAGCACTCAGCATAAGGAGCACTGATGTCAAGTCATTGATTCTGTATGATCCAGTCAATTGGCACTCGTCAGCAATAGCACTTCCAGCGGACTATTGCAAACATTCATCAGTGTTAGCCACCTAGATACTGAGGATAAGGCAGAGAGGATGGGTAAACAACAAGTAATTTCATTAACGAACCAACCAAAAGCATACAACCCAACGGATATACAGTTGGAAAAGGAAATGAAGTGAATATATACTGTGGAGCCTATCAAGATGCATCATGCTTCAAATCGTCGAAGAGAACTCTAACAGAAAATGTCGAGTTGGGCTTTAAGGGGGCAGTGTTCGGAAGAGACGAAAGTCTATGGGAAATAGAAGAGCTCTCTAAAAATAACTTCAGATAACAGAGGGAAATCATGATGTGCTGCCGAAATCCTCTTTCACACTGACGACCCTGGGGAATAATAATAATAACAATTAGTTACCTTTCTGTAAATTGAAACACAAAAGAAAAGATAAAACAAATTGCCAATAATAAAGACTTATGAACTGTAATAGTATAAATGATTGCCTTTAAGGTGTTTATAACATATTTAAGTAGCCTGTTTTGATTTTTTTTCAGTTCATGCCTCATCTTTCCAGTGATGAATACAAGTAGAAAGTGACAATAACAAGAAGTAATTTGATACGGATAAAACTCGATATTATATAAAGGTAATTTGAATCCGTGTATCTTGTGTTCAATATTTGTTCAGCAGTGCATATTTCCCAAAAAAAGAATTTTATCCAACATCAGACTTTCTTTTTACTGAAGAAATTTGGATTTTGAAGGTTGAAACAACTGTGGAAAATATCGTGTATAAATTCTCGTTTATCTTTGAAAAATGTCAACAAAATGTAACGAATAAAGATTCCAAGGTTAACTCCCTATCCTCTTGATTTCATTCTTGACACTGAAAGTTATGTAGCCAACGGCATCGTTTATTCCTTAATTCAGTACAGTGAAATTGCATTATTTCCAGGATGACGTTTCAGACACAGTTCAACGACAGTTTCTGCCAAGCGAAATAATCACTTACAGGATTTCGTCATGAGATGACATTGTTTAGAGAACTGTTGGGAACCTGGAAGTACTTGACAGCTGTTTCGTCCTAATGTGGGACTCTTCAGCTCATGGTGAAATCCTGTTAACCGATCAATCAAATCCTTGCAAACCATTACTTGAGTAACAACTAGATGCACACTAGCAACTGGTCCTATTCAGGTAGGTAGTTACCTGGGTTCTAGTAGGAAGTCGTGCAGAAGGTTGGGTGTGAGGACAAACGATCGCCGAAGACATTGGTTAGTTATTGCGCTATGTCATGAGTTCGCAGAAGTTGGAATTCATGGCCCATTGGATCGGGTCTTAGTGTCTTAGTTGTCTACGAGCTCGCCTTGTGACCAGAGGGTACTGGACTCGAGCCTCCTGTGGTGGACACATACTGATGAAGAATCTCAAGCCAGGAGGAAACAGCTGTCCACTATTCCCTACTAGTTTTCTTATGGTTCTCTAGCCGACGACATCTCATGATTAAATCCTGTAACCAGTCAATCGAATCCTTACAAAGCAATACTTGAAGTAATCAGTTATTTTCTGTGTATATTAGAAATAATGTAATTCCAACCAGCTACATTTTGACTGTACTCACGATAGTTTCGTTTAAGGTTATAAAGGGTTACTTATTCCTAAATCCACTTAGATCTTCAGCAATAGTCTCCACTGCTGTGATGTCAGGTGACTCTGAACTGAATTTCACAGATCTAATCATTATTTCCACACAGTCATAGTAGACAAAGAGAATTCCGGTGAACTTTACACATCTCCCCTTCAATGTTTAACACATTTTATTGTGTTACAGTATTAAGATAATCGTGTTATGTAAGAATTTAAAAATAAAAAAATATATGTAGGAAGTATTCCTAAGCAGACTGTCCTCTGATTGGTTGGAGTGCTGACCAATCAGAAAAATTCTCTATTTTATGCATATTCTATGTAACGATAATTTGAAATTATAAATCAGCACAGTAGTAGTATAAGGACGAAGAATACACTTTTTACAGTTAATTAACTCTTGTTAAGAAATTAACATTACTGAAATTCATAATTTGTGATATTCACCTGTGGGAAACTCTTGCATTTCATGTAAGTCAAAAATATCTGATTTTATATTTTTCTTTGATATATATATATTATATATTTTCTTTTCAATGATCAGTATAGTAATTTGGGTATTATGTAATTTTAAAGTTTAAGATATGTTTTTTTTTGGTAATCTTATTTGAGTGGACAAACTTTCATCTGAGATGATGTTTGCAGTTGAAGGTGAAATTCATATCACTGCTGCCTCCTCAAAAGCTTCGGTTAGGACGAGGACACAGTGATTTAGTAGTGCCAATTTGAAACCCAGCCAGCTATTAGATTTTATCTCATCGCCACACTAGTGATTGTTATGTAAGTCCGTTTTAGTTTATCATCACCACACTGGAAAACCAGTTGGGTTCTGACAGTACTAAATCAGTTGTGGATAAAACTATTTGAGAAAGTTTAAGCTGGACGAACACATTTTGTTACAAGTGAAGTGATGATGGGATTTGGAGGAAAACTTAACCATGATAGTATGTATTTCACTGTCGCTAATTTCTGATAATTGCTGCATACTTCTGCTGATACTGTTTGATAAAACTGAACAGGGGCAACAGTAGTTAACTATACTGACTAAGTAGCTTATTCGTAATTCAAAGCTTCATATCAGTCTAGAAGTACCTTGTGCTTTTGAATCTGTCTGGGTGGATGTTACTTCTTAGCTGCCCACACCGTAGAAGTCTATTTCTTCTTCGGATACCTGAAACAGAAACCATCATTATTCTTGTTTAATTTAGTGTGTGCCACTTGCCACCAAGCTTTTGAAGTCCGTATTTTATTTAAATTTTAAATGTCTTGGAAACTGAAAGCCATTTCTTCACAAAGCGTTTCAAGACATTTAAAACTTTCAAGCTTGTTAAATAACTGCATGTCTAAGTGTGAAAGAAATATTCCCTTTGCCACAGAATAAATACTTGAGCAAATTAGAGTGTCATTTGCAGTGAACTCGGCGCTTTAATGATGATTACGCTCTGAGGATCCCATGCTTAATACTTGATAAGGTGCTAGTGAGCAATCGTGGAAGATACCCGTCAGGATATGAGAGAGAAAAAAAACAAGGAGATCAGCGAAGATGTCTCCTAGGCGAATTGATTCTAAAAAGATTTACAATCGCATTTCCTATACATATTCTCTCATAGTTACAAGTACGATTCGTGAGTATTGTCTTACGTATGCGAACTTATGTTCAGGAAATCTGATTGTTTAGCTTTTGAGGATGAAATCGCTGGAAAGTTGTCTTTGCTAAGCTTTCTGTTTTTTCTCGTTAGCCTAATGAAGAGTCATTAATTAAAGTTATAACACTCCAGTGATTCATGGTTATCAATAATTATAAATTGAACAGCTGTACACATTTATTATTATTCAACAAAGAATTCATAAAACCAAACCAGATAATTACTGATGACTACATTCTAGAAAATGTATTATGCAATGTGAGGTGTAACCTAGAAGGAGGTGACAACTGGAACATTAGAAAAAATGAATCCGGAATTATGTATTTATTATTATGTAGAAAATATATATGAGAGATGCAATATTCCCAAATAAACATTATAAAAATCAGAGCGAAAATAGTAATAGCAGACTGGAAAATCAAACAGTTATGTAACGAATATTCTTCTAACTAACCTTAGGCTATTTGATTTATGTAATACTCTTGGACGTAGATGTCCGGTTCCAGGTCATGGATAGCCAGCGATTTGGTGCATTTGAAGTCCTATAAGCATTCACTTGGAATGATGTTAGCCCGAAATGAAATCAACGCTGAAGTGGTCTTAGAACTTCCAAACACTTCGGTGGTTCAGGATTAAAATGCTTGCCAACACGCCCCTCAGCCTTGCTTAGCTGACAGTAAGTCTGGTAAACAGAAGAGTATAGGCATGGAGCTAGAAACTTCACCTAGCAAAAACAACAATACTACCGGCGAAAATTCATAACGTGGGCTTGAAGCTCAGAATTCTTCTAAGAAAACAGAGTGAAATGATAAAATATCCCTGTACAAGATGAACTCTATGTGTTTCTATTATATCACCTATATAAAAACTTACAATTGCAAAGTTCTACGATGATAGTTTCGTACAGAATAACACGATTAAAATCTTCAGGCGTGCTAAATTAGGCACAGCCCATCGAGTTTTTCTTTCTAAAATATTTTTGATGTCATTTGATTTAGGAGACATTATGTAGATCTAATATTTTTAGAGAGTTTGAAGATATAATTATTGGTAAAGTGAAAAAAATGTTTTCAAATGCCTATAAGTCCTTATTTTCTTTTGTCACTTTGAACAAAATATTATATAACCTTAGGCATTCTATCAAAGTGACAGTTGTTTATTGGTTCAATGTGTTCCTAATTTGTTACACTTCTGTTTGTTCACGTAATGAATCTAGGAATAACTGGGTGAAATAATCTTCAGAGTATGAATTTCTTGTAATTTGTTAAACTGAAGTTATAATACCGTTGCATTATTACCACCATACAGTATTTAATCTGAATCTTATCACGGTCTAATGTTAATAATTCCAGAAAAGAAAGACACTATGGATCATATAAATCTATTCATATATAATCTTTTAGTCATATTAGCTTAACTGTTAATAAACACTCCGAGTTTAATTTATAAGTATATACATATTAAGGTGTTCACTTGAGACAGTTAAGATGACGAAGTGATTTCTTCACACGTAATTATTTAGTACTTATGAATGTTATAGACATGTATATAAGTTAGCCCTATAGTGCATCGGTGGAATAGCGGTTAGGACTCTCGCCGACCATGTACATGGTCCGGAGTTCGATCCCCGTCCGACGCACACCTGATATCAGTGATCGGCCTGCAAACTTTGGGCTACCGATATCGCATGCTGAAAATTCCATACTTGTAATTAAAAGTGTTCTCTGAGCTGGTTGGTTTAGTCGCGAGGCTTTCGTCGTCCTTCCGGACAACATCTTCAGCGCCATATTTAGCACAGAGTGAAATGATTTAAATTTCTTCATACGTGATGTAATTGCGTCTCCTGGTTACTATCTTCACATATGTATTGACCACTTTCTATTGACTAGGATTTCAAACTTTTTGGTCACCTGATTTACTTTTTATTAATTGGTATATTTCATTTGTATTAACGTGTTTGTTAATCGCATTTTCGCTTGAGTACCAGGCTTCTAGGAATTCTCTGGCACTTTTCGTGTTTCCTCTGTTTAAGATTTTGATGTGATCCCAATCAAACTGATGACCATAGTTGTCTGCATGCATTGATACTAACGAATACATATCATGTCTTTTCACGGCTGATTTATGTTCTTGGATTCTAATTCGCAGGGGACGCCTACTTTGGCCGATGTAATGCTTGTTACAGTTCATACAATTTATTTTGTAGATCATATAAATCAAAATTTAGATGATACCAGTTCTCCTGTATGCTTTCGATTGTCCTTTATAGTCCTTAAACAATACAATTTGTAGCATGTTATCTATCTACTAGTGAGCTATGCTAACTAGCTTTATAAATTTCTGTCTAATCTGATTTCATATGATATGACTTTTTCTGCCTCAAGTGCTTCAAGTGTTTTTCTGAAATCTAATTACCGCTTAATATAAAAACAATTAATTAGATTAAAATTCTTCGAGAACATAATACTTTTATTATTTTACTTGAAGACGATTAGCAGTGGTATATAGGGAGCTCATTTCCTCCAGTACGGGAGTGGAGTTTTCAGGTGGATTTATCCGCACCCCCAGTGAGTGACTGTATTCCCATTGACCCTCCAAGGGTACGCTCATCTTTTTTAAACGTCAATTAACTTCAGTAACAATGCTTCATTCCTCTCTCTATTAGTTCAGCTAATTTGACTGTTGACAAGTAGTTTTGACGTTCTTCCAGCTCTGGTACTTGATTTTGGACGTTCGTTTCTTCACCAAGCCTGATAGTGAAACATTTGTAATAAAAAACCAAAAACTTGGATTATATCGAAAGATTTCTATCTTCACTCTGAACTATTAATCTCAGTTATTTCAGATTTGACCCTTGTTGGCATTCATGGGCACCTTTTGAATCCCTCACCAAAGGCACATGTCCGTAATGACAACCTGCGAAGTTATTTCTACAGATATAATGAGAAAACCAATGCAAAATGCTTTCAAAGATGCGTTGGAAAACGTGCAGATCTTCAGCCCACAAGCATGCAAAGTGATCAGTGGAAATTTTAGATCCTATTGGACAGAAATCCATGAAAGTGCTTTCGAATCTTTTCAAGTGATGAACATTTATTTATGTATACGCACTTGAAAAGATACGAATTAGGACTGAGCCTTGCTATTTAAAGCAAGTTCATGTGAATTTCAACACATCCCAAGACTAACTTGTTCCAAAGAGTGACACAAGATTTTCTGACTGCAATCATCAAGATGTACCAGTGAATAAGTGTGTTCACATTCTGGCCAGTGCAGAAAATACTAGTTTATATTAGGCATTTATCAATCCCTAAGTAAGATAGCTAGGCAAGAATACGTTTTTATTTAGGATATATTTTGTCTTCACTTTGTATAAATCTTTCCCATCTTCTAATCAATATTCCTAATTCACACTTCATTAGAAATTAAGTTAACCAGAAGCAGGAGACACTTTCTGTGTCGAAATCTAGTTAACCCCTAATTAATTAAGATAATTAATTGCATTACAATTCCAATCGAATAAGAATGTAATATCCAAAATGTAATGATGCTTCAATGTAAGTCATTCCTTGGAACTGATACATTCGCTGACTATAAACATATGTAAGCATGTCATCTAATTGTTTAATCTTATTTTATCTTATATTCTTAGTGACTACACATCCCTTCTTTATATATATATATATATATAGTTATATATATGCATTTAAGCCACAACCGAAACCAACACACCATTATGCCATCTTGTAGCAATACCACAATAGAGTTTTTAATATAATTTTGAATTGCTTTCAGTTAGCTATTGTATGCTAACACTTAAAGAAT